AGCACGAAAAACGAGGTAATACTTTACTGCCTCTTTATGTTTTATGGAACATGTTGATATTGGTAAATGCATGAATAAGATAATGTTGGTCACTTATGTGGAGTTAATTAATGAAGGTCTACACTCGATACGAATGCGGTAGAAAGTAAGTAACTGAATATGGCTCAGATGACTATTATAAAAAAATTGGAGGACAATTGGAATTAAATTACAAGTTCTGGAATTAGGTGATAAAGGAATCATCCATGGATATGTAGATTATAATTTATCTCATTAAAGGTACTTAGATGATAAATTATGAGAATATTTCGATTAGGTAAAATTACGAAAATACCCCTATGTTGTAAAATGACAAGTTGTCCCTCGAAGTTGATTAATAACTCTAAAAAGATATATTGATATGATAAATTTACAGATATAAATTTGGATAACCGGTTTTTCATCCCAAGAGGGTTTGTGCAAGTTATTAGAAGTCTGTTAAGGAATCATTTCAAGATAAGAGAATGTTCGGGAAAGCAATTGACCATAGGATCTCTAAATTATAATTATATTTATTAAGAGTTAATACCGAAATTATTTGGTTAAGAAATTACAAAAATAACCTTGAAAGGTAAAAATAGTCTGAGTTGACTCTAAATGGGAAAGTAACCTGAGAACTTGTACTTAAACCAATAAATTACTTATTTGATTGTTTAGATCCTACCTTTGTATGGAAAATTCATGATAATTCGTTAGTAACATCTGAAAAGACTTTTAACCTGGAAATCTCCGATTTGAGAATAAATTATCAAGGGTGTTTTTTTGTCAGAACTATTCAAAAGGGCTGGAAAAGATTATACGTTTGAATTAAATAATAAGATCAGATGGATGGAAATGATTGAAATAGATCGGATTTGTCAGAATAGTTTGACGGTACTGACATAAATGATAAGTTTGAATTTAATAATAAGATCGGACGGAATGAATTATTAGACTACAATGGATCTATAAAATGACCAAATACCCTTAGAATGCAAATGACTAAGAATATCACCAAGCTCAAGAATGGTAGATATCCTCGAGCTCAGAAATAAATGGAATAAAATTGAATACCAAAATGACCAAAATACCATTATGGCCTATACTAAGTAAATGTCTTGGATTAATTAAGGAATCCAAATAAGCATAGGTGTTGGACTACCTTTAGAAGTTATGGAACACAACTTAAGTGAGTTGATCAATCTTAATGATATGTCAGTATCTGAACGACATAGATGTTACTTGAATGCGTGTTCGTCTTCTCAAGTATGGTTCGATGATAATTTTGAAAGTACTCAGCTAAGCTCAACTCTAGATCGCATTCGGTAATAAGAAATGGATATTCGTTAGACAAATCAACTACGAAGACCAAATTAAATTGAACAAAAGTACAATATGTATATGAAATTCAGAAACATATGGATTACCCTGAAAAACCCCAAAGTAACTATAATAGACTTGACTGCTAAATGAATTAAGTAATCAAGGCTAAGGATTAAGTAAGTGATTTGGATGAGTCTGGAAACATTAATGAGCATACATGATGTAATGTTTTTTATGGATCATGAACTACAAATCAAGCACATCAGCAGTTCATGATATAGTGAAAGCGTGAACATGAAATTAAGAGCATTGGAATATCTGTTAGTCTCCTTAAGATCTATTCAGTGATGACTCAGAAGATGATCTATGGATAATAATATTTGGTATTAAAGAGTAAATACCCTGGAAGGTTAATGAATTAACAAGTTGATAAGTATTATTTCTGGGAGCTATTCTTCTAGAGTTATTCGATAAACTAATTAATCGACATAGATTGTAAAGGTATTGAACCTTCATTTCTTCCCTATCAGCTCAAGTCTCATTCTGAATTACTGATGATTCCATCAGTTATTGATCTCTTCCAATAGTGATTCTACCTTCTGGTATTCTATCGGCATACTGAAAATCTGTGTTTCTCTGTCTGATATGATTATCCAGTATCTCTGAATAACATCTGAAAACTCTAGTGTGTTACCTATTCACATGAATAGTTTATCTGATTTTCGATTTGGATTTTGATATGATACTTGACCTGGATTTTGATATGATACTTGACATGTATTCTGATATGCTACTTGACCTGAATTATGTTTTAATTTTATATACATATATCCGTTACGAACGAAACATATTTTATTTGGGGTAATGTTGGAGGAAGTATACCTGGAGGCTCCTCGGCTGTGTGGTCAATGCCTTACTTACCGGCTCCTCGGATGTGTACTCAGGGCCTTACTGGACTTGACGGTGGGTGTATGGTTCTGGGGAACCTACACATTTTGGACTTGACGGATGGGGGTAGTGTTCATGTTTTTAAAACATGTTACATAAATCGATTTTACTGAAATATTTTATCTGTATCTTTTCACTGGTTTTACGGGAACACACTAGATAACCTATTCTGATCTCCTGAACCTAGACATCCGAAATATTTCTTTCTGAACTGAATATTATCTGTTACTACCTGAGATATCAATGGGACCTCAGCTCAGCCTACAAATCTGTAGATATCTTATTCAATAAGGAAATATATGTTTATTTGTATCTGCACGTTCTTCAGCATCATCTGGTAGTTCTGTATTACTGAGCTTTCCGAAGCTCACTCTGTTACTCACCTTTTCAGGTTAAAAGAATCGTACCAGTGCGGTTATCAACTTCAATAAGGGATTTCTTCCGTCGTTGGTTGCAGAGTATGGTACTTGTGATTAGGGGCATGTAATTGTATTTTGTTTTAATATTTGAGTATGAAAATATGTTTTATTTCTGTATACTGATAAATCTTTTTATAAGTTACATATTTTAATAAAGGTTTTAAATTTTCCGCTATTTTTACAGTGGGTCGCTCCGGTGGCCCTAATGTGACACTCCATATTGGATCGGGTTATCCACATTGGTCTGAGGGGGTTACATAGACTTTTTTCAAATAGGGGTGAACAAAATTTGACTTGACTCGAAAATTAATTTTTTTAATTCAATTTGATGCTAAAGAAACTCTAATTAACTTGACTTGACTCATAATTTTATAAACTCAACTTGATTCAAAAAAAATTTAAATTCGAGTCTAATTATAAAATAGAACACTAATAATTTGAATACCTCAAAATTTTTAGTAATTAGTATATTGATTTTCAAGTTTGAGCTGTGTCTTTCAAGTCTATATATATATATATATATATATATATATGGTTATAGAAAATGTTTAAATTGGACTTAAATAGTATCACAACATTATAATTATTTATAATTAAATTTAAATATAAACTTGAATTTTGTAAATTAAAATCGAGTTGATTTTTTTAAACAAAATTTGAATTATAAAATATGATTTATTAACTCGAATAACTCAAAACAATTTATTCGACTTGAATGAATGTTCTCCTAACTCTAACGACATATTAGAAGAAGATATCTATATTCTGTTAGTAGATATAAACTGGAGGAGGAAACGATAAACTCAAAAGGAGAAATTATTGGAAAATAAAATTGGAAAGTATAGAACAATAAATTAAAACTATGGAAAGGGAATCTCAGAGGAAAAGGAGTAAAATTGAAGGGACAAGAGTGCAATATTGCTAGAATCTGATTTCGGCGAAATTATAAAGAAAGGTAACTTGATTTAAAGTTAAAAAAGAACGAAATAGGATTGATAAAAAATGTGATAAGAAAACTATAATATTTTAGGTTTGACGCAACTTAAAATATAATATTTTTTATAACATTTTCGGTTACAATATAAAATATTACATAGAACGTCACATTTTTTGTTGACGATTGAAAATATTATGAATAAGATAATATTTTAGATTGCAACCGAAAATATTAGAAGAATGTGACATTTTAGGTTGCGTCCAATTTAAAATGTTATTTTTTATTACATTTTCTATCGTGTTCTATTTTCTCCATTTTTATCATAAATTTTAGGATAAACTACGCGTTGGTACCTGAACTATCAATTATGATCTATTTTAGTGCATAAACTTTCAATCTTTTCATAATTGTATCTAACATTTATTTTTTGTTTCATTTTAGTATCCCGCCATTAAAGCTTACCGAACGGGCTAAAGTGCATAGCTCCGGTGGACAAACGACCAATTCAAACGGTGGACCACGAGAGAATGACAAGTCGACCAACATAGTCTAGTTTCAGGCCCATTAGTCAATTGACGACATAGATTGAAGGATGAAGAAGTCGAAGAGTTCATAATTGATTTGGGAGATTGAGACATTTTCCATTGAAATAAAGGCCAAAATCACATTCAGGGTCAGAAAAGGTGCGGACTAAAAAGTTTGGGCTTTATCGGCCAACGGATGTGATGGTCAGTGACTGTAGACACAGCCAGTGAGCCCATCATTTAAGTTTTTAACGATTGATACTAAAATGAAATAAAAAACTAAACACTAAGTATAGTTTTAAAAAAATTAAAAGATTAAATACTAAAACGAATCAAAATTGATCATTTAAGTATTAAATATGTGATTTTCCTTAAGTTTTAAGTTGTACCACACAACTGAGCCTGATTACGTTGTAGCGGACCCCACTTCAATATGAGATTATGAATTTCGTTCTTTAGTCACCCAAATTGTGAATCTCCTTAAAATGCAATATTAAACCAATTCCCGCTAAAATCCCCAAGCTCATAAACAGTAATCTCGGTATCCAGCAGTTTCACACAAGCTGGCATTTCTGGAATTCAAACCTTACAATAAGGGCAAAATGGGGTTCAAAAACAACATTTTTAAAATAAAAGGGAAAAAAGACTGAAATTAAATAAATAAATAAATAAATAAATAGCGACTATAAATTGGGAGCAGAGGAATCTTCTCTATCTCCCATTATCCTCCATAGCCAAAACACAAAGCAATATCCCTTTTCTTTTCTGTTGTTATTTTATTCACAGAAGTAGTAGGCCTATAAATTGGGAGCAGAGGAATCTTCTCTATCTCCCATTATCCTCCATAGCCAAAACACAAAGCAATTTCCCTTTTCTTTTCTGTTGTTATTTTATTCACAGAAGTAGTAGGCAGAGATCATCACTTTCAGAAAGAGAAAACAAAAGAAAGCATAGAAATCCGTAACGTTTTCCACCAAATATCTGCTCTCCCCCCCCCCCACACATAAAGTTTGGATAACTGTGAAGGTTCAGAGTTCTGACTCAAACCAGCTCTGCCTTATCTCTTGTCTCACTGTTTTAGTAAAGCCACACCATTCTTCTTCAGGTAACAGAATTTCCTCTCCGGAGGAAAAGGGTTTCACTGAATTTCCAACTGCACTTAATCCAAATGCTTACTTCTTTCCCTCCTCGATCTCATTATGTTTTATTGAAGATTTTGTTTGGTTGTTGACTTTTTTACTTCATTTTTTGGTTTTTTTTTTTGTGAATTATGTTCATTTTAACATTCAAGTCTTGGGTTCCAGGATATTGAGTTGAATTTTTGTTCAGTTTTTTCTATCTAATATTTTTGTTTTCCCATTTCAACTTGTTTAGTTTCTCAGTTCTTTTCCCTACTGTTTTGGATTTGAATTTCATTGATTTTGCTTCTTCTTGTTTTGTTAAAGAAATTAATCTCTGTTTTCTAGAGGGAAATTCAAGTTTCCCGCAAATTTCTTGTCGGTTGACTGTGTTGACTTTCTTTAATTTCTTTCCTTGTTTGGTTTTTGTTATAGATTAACCATGTTAGAAAAGATGGAAATTCTGGACGTTGAGAAAGTGATAAAAGAATTCGAAGCGATGACCAAAGATGCGGAGAATGTTCAAAGGGAGACTTTAAAGAAGATTTTAGAAGAAAATGGAAGCGCCGAGTATTTGCAGAATCTGGGTCTCAATGGCAGAACTGACCCTGAAAGCTTCAAGGCTTGTGTTCCTCTAGTCACTCACAATGACTTGGAGCCTTTCATTCAGAGAATCGCTGATGGTCCTTCTGCCCCGATTCTCACCCGAAAACTAATCACCAACATATCTCTCAGGTACCTATTCCTTTACTTTTAACTTTGATTGTCCCTTTCAAATTGAATGCACAGCTTCTATTGTGAATTTGCAGCTCTGGCACCACTCAAGGAAAACCCAAGTTCGTGCCTTTCAATGATGAATTGATGGAAACTACTTTGCGGATATTCCGTACTTCTTATGCTTTTAGAAACAGGTAGGTATATACAATTGCATATCTCTTAATCTTTCTTGTCCCCCAAAGGTTTTTTTTATGGTCCACACCTTTTTGTTCCAGCTACGTGATTGGTTATTGATCAGTATGTATTGTTGATGTACAGGGAATTCCCTATTAACAACGGAAAGGCTTTGCAGTTCATTTATAGTAGTAAGCCGAGTAGAACCAAAGGGGGTTTGTTCGCCGGAACTGCGACGACGAATGTGTTCCGCAATTCGCTGTTTAAAAACGCGATGAGAGGGATGCAATCTCAGTGTTGCAGCCCTGATGAGGTGATATTTGCTCCAGATTTTCACCAATCCTTGTACTGTCATCTTTTATGTGGCCTGATCTCCCGTGAGGAAATTCAGTTGGTTTCCTCTACCTTTGCGCATAGTATTGTTCATGCGTTTCGAACTTTTGAACAAGTGTGGGAAGAGCTTTGTGCTGATATTAGAGATGGGGTCCTCACGAGCCGCATCACCTTCCCTTCGGTTCGATCGGCTATGGCCAAAATGCTGAAGCCGAATCCTGAATTGGCTGATTTGATTCACAGGAAATGTTCTGGATTGAGTAATTGGTACGGATTGATACCAGAGCTTTTCCCTAATGTCAAATACATCTATGGGATCATGACTGGGTCCATGGAGCCTTATCTGAAAAAATTAAGGCATTATGCAGGAGATGTGCCTCTTGTAAGTGCTGATTATGGTTCTTCTGAGGGATGGATCGGAGCAAATGTCAATCCGAAAGTGCCTGCAGAGTCAACTACGTATGCCGTTCTTCCGAATATTGGGTATTTTGAGTTCATTCCCCTGAAAGAGGATGCTGAAGAGCAAGTCCAAGACAAAGTTGGTGCTAGTTTCATCTCTATGGAGCCCAAACCAGTGGGTCTGACTGAAGTTAAGGTCGGTGAAGAGTATGAAGTTATTGTCACAAGTGTTGCAGGTACTAAATTGTTCTTTTTTCGAAGAATCGGAACTTTTTCTGCATTTCCTACAATTAGTTTAGAAGATTTGAGGAGATTTGCATGCATTCTTTAATATCACTTCAGCTCCATATCTAAACCGCGTTCACATCATAGTCCATATTGCACGTTACAGTGTGTAAAACTTCTAAAGTTGTTTATTTGTTGATAAAATGACCCAACCATGAAATAAATGCTCTTCATGTGGGTGTAGCCATGTAGGAGCAAGTTATTTATGGTCCAAGCCTTGTTCCTTCCAATGATTTTTTGTTTTCTTAACCTACTTTGTTTGAAAAAAGAACCCATTGTTCAGACACGTCTGTCCCAATTGGTTAAGACAAAGGCTCATTTAATTGGCTTATTTGTTTGATACATATTCCTACACATCCACATGTTTCTTTAATATTACAATATTAGGAAATAGAAAATCTCTTATCAAGAACCACCCATGTGTTCTCCTCCATGTATCTCGGTTGGTCCACATTTGAAACTTCTTAATTGAAATCAGGAACTTATATTCTCCCTATAGGTTCTCCTTTTCTGTAAATCAGTAAGTATATCAGGAAATCCTTTCAGGGTAGTCTACGAGTTCGTTGCTGTATTTTTCTGGAGAATAAAGAATGGACAAAACTTACAAACTACTGATGTATTTTGAAAAGGATGGGGGCTTAATGGTCAATGGTCTGGTTGAACAACACTTAAGATATTTTTATGTTTATGATTTTCAATAATTAACATCGTTATACATGACAAAGAAAGGGAGAAGAGATGGATGCTATTGGGGCCATTTTGATGTCATAGGTTTTCGTGTATTGTGCTGGAAAAAAGTATAGGATCATGTAAAACAAAACTGCCTTGGTTATGAAACAATTAAAGGTGATCACATTCATCTCACACACAAATATAATAATGTTTTTTAATTTGATGTTTAGTGGAAACTGGTAACTTGTATTTTAGTCATTGGCTACCGAATCCTGATTTGCAAGTGGAAATTTTCTATTGTGGATTGTTGACCCTGTAAACATTGCATTAGCCATGATTGTCATTATTAAATGTATATAATTGAATGATTTTGAAACACTGCCATGTTAGTATAACTTGCTGGTTGTCCTTTTCTTTCAAATATTTTAATACCCTTTCAACTGCAAACCAAAGGTTTGTACAGGTACCGGCTAGGGGATGTTGTCAAGGTAATGGGGTTCCATAACTCGACCCCGGAGTTGAAATTTATATGCAGAAGGAATCTGATGCTCACCGTAAACATCGACAAGAACACCGAGAACGATCTGCAGCTAGCGGTGGAAGAAGCAGCCAAGCTAATTTCCGAGGAGAAGCTCGAAGTGATTGATTTCTCTAGCCATGTCGACTTATGGACGGACCCCGGTCACTATGTGATATTCTGGGAAATCAGTGGGGAAGTAAGCGACCAAGTGCTGAAAGAATGCTGCAATTGTTTGGATCGTTCTTTTGTCGATGCAGGGTATGTTAGTTCCCGGAAGGTGAATGCGATCGGTCCGCTTGAGCTCCGAGTTCTTCGGAGTGGAACGTTTCAGAATATACTGGACCATTATTTAGGGTTAGGTGCTGCTGTTAGCCAGTTTAAAACACCACGATGCGTAGGGCCTACGAACCAGAAAGTGTTGCAAATCTTGTGCGGCAATGTGGTCAAGAGCTACTTTAGTACTGCTTTCTAGCTGTTGTTAAATATTCCCCACATTAAACTAATCTTTATATAATAAAATCGAATGTGTTCATTGGCTGTCACATGTATAATTGTATGACCTCGATTCCACCATCTTATCTTCTCAATTGCTTCACAACCCCTAATTTTATTAGAGGATAAATTATATCATTAATTACTCAATTATTTAGTTATCAAATTATTTTTTTTATAAAATTGTAATTGACATTATATTTTAGTTTTATTTTAATCACTTTTTTATAAAAGTTATTTGGTATAATAATAATAATTTTAATCTTTAAAATTTATACATTCTATCAATATGATATTTTTTAGGTTTAAGGGTTATTTTTTTCCTTGTAGTAGACTTAATTTATCATTTCATCCCTATGATATTTTCACAATAGTATAGCCCTTGAAGTTATTTAATTGCATCATCATATACCATTGAACGCTTTGACTAATAGAAATGTTAGTATTCTGCATATGTGGACGCCAACAATTTATCACTTAAAGGTTATTTTTACTTCTGTAGTAGACTCAATTTATCATTTTCATCCTTATGATATTTTCACAATAATATAGCCATTGAAGTTATTTAATTGCATCATCATATACCATTGAATGTTTTGACTAATAGAAACGTTAGTATTCTGCATATGTGGACGCCAACAATTTTCACGTCAACCAATATTACTAACGTAGCTTGATGATGATGTGACACTTATTAAAATATAAACAATAAAATATTTAAAATATTTCCTAACATATTATTTGTCTATAAATAATAAAATATTTACATAGAAATATTTTAAATATTATATTATTTATTTTTTAAATAAATGTCACGACATCATCAAACCACGCCAACAATATTGGTTAACGTGAAATTTGTTGGTGTCCATAGACGCAGAAAACTAACGATTCTTTTAGTTAAAACGGACAACGGTATATGATGATCCAATTAAACAATTTCGAGGATTAAATTGATGCTAAAATACTATAAGGGCGAAAATGATAAATTGAATCTAGATGGCAAAAGTAGCCCTAATGTCGTTTTTTACCAATTAAAACTGCAAAACCATTGTTTTATTCGAATTACTCAATCATCCATTTCAGTATGAAGAAGGCTATGAGCACCATCAGGAGGGTGTTGCAGAATCGTGAGGTCTGGTCTTCCTGTACGTCCAAGATGAATCAATGCATCAACTACACCATTTGTTTCCCGACGAACATGCTTAATCTTAGTAATCCATTGGAGATGGAGAAGCTTGAGGATTCTACGAGTAATTGTTGTTTCATTTAGCTGGACATTAGAGTTAAGGATCATCACCACCTCATCGCACCCCGATCCTAAGCTATGGCTAGACCATCTAACACATCCCAAAGTTCGACGTGGAAAACTGAGCATTGCCCAATATTCCGGTGAAAGCCTACTAACCATTGACAATCGTGTTGGAAATAAAACACTCACACAAACAACTTTTATTGAAACTCAAACAAATATTAGAAGAGCACTCTCACTAAAAAAACAAGAACTACAACTCACTCTTATAAGACTTTCCTTCTCCACTCACTTAGAAGCTCTTAATTTTTCTTGATGCTTAAAACTAAAATGGGGTGGGGTATTTATACTACTCAAGAATAATCCTACACCACACAAATAAACTAATTTAAACCATTACAAATTCAACAAATACCTAACTCTCACCTAACTAAATTGATGTAAGCAATGACATCATTACTTAAATGATGTAAGCAATGACATCTTTACTTAAATGATGTAAGCAATGACATCAATTTAGTTTGGGTTTGGGTTTAGGTTCCCATAATGGATCAAGTTTATGATCCAACACCCCCCCTTAAACTTGATCTCGTGACCCCTAATAGGTTCCTTAATCTTATGAAGTCTTCACTTTTCAATGGCTTGGTAAAAATATCGGCAACTTGATCTTGTGACTTCACGTATTCAACTTCCACATCGTTTCTTGCAACACACTCCCTTATATAGTGGTAGCGAATGTCGATGTGCTTGCTTCGATCATGGAATACTGGATTCTTTGATAAGGCAATGGCTGATTTGTTGTCGACACAAACCTTGGTAGGCTCTTCTTGTATCAAACCTATCTCCTTCAATAGATTTCTAAGCCAAATTGCTTGACAAACACATGAGGTAGCAACAACATATTCCGCTTCACAAGTGGACAATGTGACAATCGGTTGTTTCTTTGACATCCATGTGAACGCAATATCTCCCATGAAAAATACGAATCCAGTAGTGCTCCTTCGATTATCTATATCTCCACCCCAATCACTGTCGCTATATCCAACAAGCTTGTAATAATTAGAAACTGAATAGAACAAGCCAAAGTCAATTGTACCTTTCAGATAGCGAAGAATTCTCTTTGCGGCTTTAAAATGGGTGGTTGTTGGAGATTCCATGTAGCGACTAACCAATCCAACTGCGTGAAGAATATCGGGTCTCGTGCAAGTTAGATAGCGTATACTTCCTACTAAACTTTTGAAGAATGTTGGATCTACACTTTCGCCTTCTTCATGTTTGGTCATCTTGATCCCGTATTCTGCCGGTGTGCTTATTGGCTTACAGTTCTCCATCTTGAACTTCTTCAGTATCTCCTTTGCATAGCTTTTCTGTGAAATGAAAATTCCATCATTTTGTTGCTTAACTTCAATGCCAAGGTAGTATGCCATGAGCCCCATGTCTGTCATCTCGAATTCTTTCATCATCACATCCTTGAATTCATTAAACATGCTTGGGTTGCTTCCAGTGAAGATCAAATCTTCCATATAGAGACACACGATCAAAATATCTTCATCTTTGATCTTGATATATAGAGCATGCTCGTAGGGGCATTTGTTGAAGCCATTCTCTTAGAAGTACTTGTCGATTCGGCTATTCCATGCCCTTGGTGCTTGTTTTAGCCCGTAAAGAGCCTTCTTCAACTTCAACACCTTGTCTTCATGCCCTTTGACTTCATAGCCTGATGGTTGCTGAATGTAAACTTCCTCTTCAAGAACTCCATTTAGGAAGGCGGACTTTACATCCATATGTTGTATCTTCCACTTATTTTGAGCTGCCAAAGATATGATTAGTCTGATAGTCTCCAATCGAGCAACAGGAGCAAATACCTCATCATAGTCAATTCCAGCCTTTTGACTATAGCCTTTAGCAACTAGTCTCGCCTTATGCCTTTCAATCTCTCCTTTGGTGTTTTGCTTTGTTTTGTACACCCATTTGACACCTATCGCCTTATGTCCCTTGGGAAGTGAGGTAAGTTCCCATGTGTCATTCTTCTCGATGGCCTTGATTTCTTCATCCATCGCATATCTCCATTTCTTTTCTTGTACCGCTTCTTGAAAGCTCATTGGTTCACAATCGGCAAACAGACAAAATAATGTAAGATTATCTTGTCGTTCAGTTACCTCATAGAGATCTCTAAGGCTTCTTGTGTGTTGTACAACTCTTTCACTTTGACTCCCACTTGACGATGACGAAGGTGATGAGTCTCCTTGAGTGGTTGATGTTGGTGAAGTGGGTGGAGTTGCAAGCTCTTGTTGAGATTCATCTAGTTGTTCCCTCATTGTCTGCTCATCTTCTTCAAACTAAGGAAAGAAATTGAAGTCATCTGTATGAGAGTTAAAATCCCATTCTCCTTCTTCGTTAAATACCACATCTCGACTAATCACAAACTTCTTATTGTTTGGATTGTACAACTTGTAGCCCTTCGAATTTGCATCATAGCCGATGAAGATAAAACTCTCACTTTTATCACCAAGCTTCGTTCTTCTCTCGTCTGGTACGTGAACATGGGCTATACTTCCAAAAGTTCTCAAGTGGGAAATGTCAGGCTTTCTTCCACTCCATGCTTCTTGCGGTGTTTTTCCCCATACACTTCTTGTTGGAGATCGGTTTGTCAAGTAGACTGCACACGCTACTGCCTCCGCCCAAAATTCCTTGGGTAGTTTCTTGCTTTTGAGCATGCTTCGTGCCATGTCGAGGATTGTTCTGTTCTTTCTTTCTGCCACACCATTTTGCTGGGGGGATCTAGGAACTGTCATTTGTCGACGAATTCCATTTGCTTCACAGAACTCTTGAAGCTCCCTGGAAGTAAATTCTCCACCTCGATCGGATCTCATGGCTTTGATCTTTCTACCGCTTTCTCTCTCCACTGCTGCTTTGAACTTCTTGAAGACTTCAAAAACTTCTGACTTCTGTTTTAAGAAATATACCCAGGTTTTTCTTGAAAAATCATCAATGAAGAGAAGAAAATAGTTACTGTTACCGAGAGAGCTTGGCTTGATCGGTCCAAACACATCGGTATGGATGAGCTCAAGTGGCTTCTTGGCTCTTGTATCTGACTCCTTTGGAAAGCTTTTCCTAAATTGTTTCCCTACTAGACACCCTTCACAGAACTGGTCAGGATGGTTGATGCGAGGTAGTCCTTTCACCATCTCCTTCTTAGATAATAGCTCTAGACCTCCAAAATTGAGATGCCCAAATAGAAGATGCCAAAGCCATGATGCATCTTTGTAGCAAGATTTCAGGCACTTTGCAACATCATTTTGTATGTTGATCAAGAACATTCTATTCTTTGACATCGACACTTTAGAAATGAAGTTATTCTTATCATCTTTTATAGAAAGATTATAATTATTCATATGAATATCATAACCTTTCTCTACCAGTTGCCCTAAACTTAAGATGTTACTTTTCATATTGGGCACATAGTAGACATTTAAAATAAATTGATGTCTCCCATATTTGAAACGGATAAGAATGTTACCTCTCCCTTTCACTGTTATTGTGGAATCATCTCCAAACGAAACATTTCCGCTTACTGACTCGTCTAGCTCCACGAACATGTCTTTCCTTCCACACATGTGATTGCTTGCACCACTGTCAAGATACCAGGAATTTGCTTGGCCACCATCAGTTTCCTTTCGTGATAGAAGAAGAGTTTCTTTGCCATCTGTCTTTTCCTCCACGTAATTGGCCTTCTCCTCAATTTTGTTGTTGGGAGCTCTACATTCTAAAGCATAATGCCCAAACTTCTGACAATTATAACATCGA